TCTATGAAAAATAGAATGTTAAATCAACACAAATCGAATACCTAAATATTAAGTTTAGTTAAAAATAAAGATCATATCGTTTAAAATTATATATTTAAAAAAAAAATTCATGAGTTCTATGAAACAAAATTGTATTCAACTATCGAGTGAAAAATTCTCAATATCACAATACTAATCTAATATATATAATCAAATTAATCGTTTAGTTTTATTATACAGTAACTATTATTTTAAAAAATTGTCTTGTTTTCAAAATGAATAAGAATCTTTTTATCGCGCTTCCAAATTATAATTATATAGTTTTGGAGATAAATATTCTCGAAATGGTAAAAAGATTTTAGACCGAGTTTGCATGTAACCTAGTTTTCGTGTCGTTTGGCAAATTATATAGTTTTGGTATTTATATTATTTTTTTCATCTTGTATGTTTGCATCTAAGAAAGTCCAAACAAATAAAAAAATTATGAATGGTCCAAAATAGAATATATTCATTGTCTAAACAAAAGTGGACCCTTTTTTGGGTTCCTAGCGATAGCAACATGGACACGTTGCCTGTAAAAAAATAATTTTTGTAATATTATATCAGTTTTCCCAATTAGTTTCATATACCGGCGGGATTTTGGGATAGATTTGTGACAACTAATAATTTGTTTTTTTTCCCAATTGTTTTGATTGGTAACAAAAGATTTCTAAATTTTCTGAATAGTAGAAATATTTATTTTGTATGCTTTCAGTTTGTATTTATACTTCTTTAAGGTTTGATGCAAATAATATAACTTTATTCTCCTTTATATTTTTTTTCATAACCAATCACTAAAACTCATCAGAATTTTAACTAATTCATAATGAGGATTAAAACATAATTAGTCAGAAAATAGAGGAGATTATGTAAGAGAACAGATCTTATGTATACACACAAAGAACTTGTAAGTAATACACAACTCCAACAACTGCTCAAAGAGAGTCACTGTCTATTTTCAAAAACAAAATTCACAGTGAAAACAACATTTTAAAGCTCTCAAGAATCAAAACCATAATCTAATCGAATTTATCTCGAGATTTAAATGTCTAATGCAATTGTAATCGATTGCACTGGATCTATTTGGTCATATTCTATAAGTACCAGTGACATTGGCGTGTATATTTTATGTATTCGTTCTGCTTCTGTTAAGGTCTTGTGTGCGTTTCTTGTCAATGAATGACTGAAGCTAGTTTTCGTTTGTATTGATGGATCTATGTCGGATTAGATATTTTGTTCTTACAGTTTTGCTACATCTCTCGGTTGAGGTTTTATGTGTGGCTTATGTGTGAGAAAGGCCTCGTTGTTTGATTCATATTTGATGAAATTTAAGTGTCATGGTAGGTTAAGGGGAATCAAGTAGGTTGATAGGATCCTTGGGAAAGTTTATTATACTTTTAGCATCAAGTGATGTTTGATCAATTGTATGCAGTTATGTACTTAGATCTCGCTTTGCCTTCTGTATTTTTCGCAAATTTTGCTCGGGAATTTGTCTCGTGGATCTGACAAAAGGATATTTGTGTTTATGGTTGTTCTGCAGCGTATTGTGTTGTTCTTTTT